TATAATTATTTTTAATATTCTTTCATTTTGCAGCCTGTTAGAGACTCTCCCAGTAACACACACTCAGCCCTGAACCCTGAAAGCAGGACGTCTGATTACGACACTCTGACTGTAAGTCTGCACTCGGTGTACCTTCATTCTCTGGTTGAGCTTCATTACAGTTCCTAAGATCTCCTGTTTTTCAGGTTGTCCGTCCTCACCCAGTGATGAGAAGAGCTCCAGAGAACGAGAACTAACAGCTGTGTTCATTTACTCTTCATTCACCACTGTAGCTTCAGCTCTATGGACAGAACATTAAAGAGGCGTACGGAGGATTTCTGAGGATTAAAGAGCTTTTAGAGCTCAAAACACATCAGATGATTCCTAAAGTCAGAGTGATTCTCTCAGATCAGTCAGAGGAGCTTCTGTTTATGAAGGGTCTTTATTCACTGTTGTGCTTTTATACCCCATGATGATTCAAACACGGACCAGAATCAGGCAGTTCTGATCATTCAGTATGAACAGATTTAAGATGATTTCAATCCTTTTTAATTAAAAATATCAGTTTGTACAATCAGGTTTATTATTAAAACTTTTTGTGCCTGTTTTAAATGACTTTTTAATGGCTTTATTCTTGTGTGTTTTCATTATTTTAGCTAAGTAGACTTAAACTCTTTAATAGTTGTGCTGTGCTGTCATTATTCTAAATGTGCTACTACAAACAGACTATTAATAAAGTTTTGAAGCAGGTTTTGTTTTCCTGTTTAATGAACAGTGAACAGGTGAGAGATTCCTGGATGGATCTGCTGGCTGTTTCCATCACTGCTTTTCTCAGCTTCCTTATTTTAGCTCTTCCAGTTCATGTAAAGCTAGCTGTAAGAAATTGATAAATATGGAACTTTGTAAATAATACATTTAGAAAGATAAGAAACATATGTAACATCATGAAACAAATTTGGTGAATATCAGTTGAAATATTATATGTTACTGCCTATTTAAACACGAGAACTCATATTTCAGTACTTGTATTTGCTTACAAGTGGAATCTTGACAGTTACAAAATAAAAACACTTTATTAGTTTTCTCAAACATTCCATCATGTACATTTCAGCCATAATCACTTTTATAAGTCTATGTTGCTGATGTTTCTAAATCTGCAGTGTGGATGATTCAGAGCTACTATAACTAACTAGACTAATTAAGTGACTGTGTCCCTCTTAGATCACTTCACTTGAGAATCAGTGAACTCCAGCTCAGGTCTCCCACTTCTGGGCTCCTATGTTCTTCCTTGAGATCTAACCTGTCTTGTAAGGTAAGGTCTCTCCTCATTAGTGTCCTTTAGCGCCCCTCAGTGGTGGAACTCTGGTAAACTCTTCAGGTAAAACCTTGGGTAACATCTCTCTGCTCTCATTCACTCTCCACTTCTTAATCCTGCACACTTCGTATGTTGTACTTAATGTTTGAGTTAATTTATTAATCAAAAGATTCCAAAGTTATTTAAACTGTGTTCATTAAATCTGTAGAACAAACCTATTATACAGCGCAGTTTTCCAGCACTGCATCTTGGTTTGGCTTCCACTGTTTACACATTTTTGTGTACTTCTGCCAACATCAATTAGTATAAGTTTAAATGTGTTCTAGCTAATGCTAAAGCTACATTCTCAAGACTCTTGACAACTGTCATATTTAAATTCTACTCAAAATTTATGTTCACTTAATAAAGGATCAGATTATAGTAGTTTATATTAACTGAACTTTTTGATGTTTTTATGAACAAGTAATTTACTAAAAATTAAAAATGTATTGTTATATTTTTATATTGTACTGTATAAAGAGCAAGTTTAGGGGCACCAGAATTTCTGCATGCTCATACTGGTTTACACTAATACATAGTCAGTCTGTCTTTTTGTTGTTATAATGATAATAATAATAATAATAATAATAATAATAATAATTGGTATTATTATTGTTATTATTATTATCACTGATGCTGTTGCCAGTGAGCTAGATATCTCATGCTGTGATGACTGTGATTTAGCGATAAATCAACCCCCTAAATCAAACTAAGAAACCTGTCCTGCTGCTGAGTTTGTTAAAGTTTACCTAATGAGGATCATAATTAATAACTCATAAAATAAAATTAAGTACAGAATACAGGAAGTGGTTACCGTGGAAGTGGCGTTGACATAAAGGTAAAGAGTTTGAGTTGAAGTGGTGAAAAAATTTATATATCTGCTACTTTAATGTTACTCTCAATATAAAGCCAACATAAACAGTTCTTATTTTTAAATATTTTTTAATATCATGGAAGTTACTTTCTGTTAAGTAACTATACTAAATACAAACAAATAGAAATTGAAAATTCCAAGAAAACAAGTTGTGATGTTAAAAACCAAATCTAATAATTAAAAAAATTACTTATACTTCTGGTACTGAATAATAAGAGGTTCTTTTCCACACTGTGTCTAGAAATTAGCTCTTATTTTTTGCTGAAATGTTCTCTCATCCAAAGGTTATTTAAGCTGGTTTTAACTGTCTATACTTGGACAATTTTTGTGTAAAACCAACTTTAAAGATGGCATTCGCTGCTGTTCAGATGTTTGATCATGAACAGATGTAGCCTTCACCAGACACTCTGAATGGACGAATGAATAAATAAAGTTTATTGACAGCCGATCAGCTCATAATGTAAGAATGATAATGGATATCTTGCAGACTCAGGATGGCTGGTTATGACCTGTAATTAGTCACCAGCTTGACCTTAAAATAATAATATCGTCTTCAATTTCTTTTAAATGGTCACTGTAGCCGCTCTGTGTGTGAAGTTGATCATGCGGTGATAAACGAGAAAAATCGCTTATCTATGAATTTAATCCCTGCACAATGCATCACTGTCTCTGCAGTCAGTGCGTGAAAATACAGTGTTTGGTCTTTGTAATAATTGCCATCCCGAATATTCAGGAACCAAACAAGAAAGACCTTCTCACCATGTTGGAGATGAAGCACATACCATATTCACACAATGAAATTAGGATTAAGTTGAATGATCTCCAGCTGCTTTGTTGCGTTGCATGGCTGCAGGTGTGAATGGAGGGTTACACCTATATGAGCTCTTTGGACATTAATATGGGGTTGCCCCCCCACCCCTTTTGTGACTATAACAGCCTATAGTACACCAACACTGAACAAAAGCTAAACTAGCTCATGTGACTGAGCCACATTGTATGGCCAAAAGTATGTGGACATCTGACCATCACACGTATATGAGCTCATTGGGTGTCCCATTCCAAATCCACTAGCACTGATATGGATTTGGTCCCCCTTTGCAGCTGTAACAGCTTCCACTCTTCTGGGAAGCTTCTACAAGATGTTGGAGAGTCTGTGGGAATTTTTGTCCATTCAGAGAAAAGATCATTTGTGAGGTCAGACACTGATGCTGGATGAGAGGGTCTGGATCACAATCGACAATCCAGTTGATCCCAAAACGTGTTCAGTGGGGTTGAGGTCAGGGCTCTGTGCAGGCCACTGGAGTTCCTCCACACCATTCACACCATTCTGACTGACTGTTGGCACAGATCACACCTAGATGTTTTTTAAGTGGTCTCAAGTGAAAAAGGAAGTGACCCTGAGCTAAAAGCGGAAGTGTGGTGACAGACCACACAGTGCAGAACACGTCTTCAGTGTCTCTGCTGACTTTCTCTCTGCTGAGATCAGGACAGTTCATAAGTGTAGGAGAGTCAGAGTGAGGAGCTTCTGGACCTTCTGGACCTTCAGGTATCCGCTGTGTTTGAAGAGTGATGCTGCCATGTTTTCCCAGAGCTCAGCAAATATTACAGCAGCACTGATCCTCATTTTACTGGCAGGTAAACTTTACATTTATTTACATTTCTGCTCTTAATGTGTTTGTGTTCCACAGCGCTGATCTACATCTGTGTCAGATTAACGTGTAGAGACTAAAAATCCTTCAACATATAACAGTTACAGTGTGTTTCAGAACATTTTAATACATTTGACACGATTCAGTCACAGGAAGTGGCTTTAGAACGAACAGCAGAGCTGCAGTAACTACAGATTAATAACTGATACCATTTTATAATCTCTTAAACTCACAGAACATTCAGACTAACTGCAGCTTTAAGATGAAGATCTTCATCATCAGAGCTTATTTGTGTGATTACCTCTGTTAAAGCTTTGAAGCTGTTTTAAACTGAGATCAGCTCTTTTGTGGTTATGAGGTCTCCACCATCTTCACACATCTTTGTGGTTCTGTTAATAGGATGGAAAAAGTCAACAGAAAACATTCATAAGTGACAGAATGGACACAGTGTTAAAAGTGGAAGATACTGCAGTGAATGTTAAAAATTATCCAAATTTAACGCACTCAAGTATATAGAAAAATAAAAGTAAATTACATGTTTAAAATGAAAAGTTTTCTATTTTTTGGCCTGCACAAAGATACATTAGTGTGCTTGTGTTCTTGTGTTTATTTTACATTGAAATGAAATTGATTGAATGTGTATGGAGTGAATTTTGCACCAAAAGTTTCAAATCCAATAATAAAATTCACAAGCAAAATGTTAAGTATCAGACTGTCAAAAATATGTTGCAAACACAAAACACAAACTTAATTGTTTATAAAGGTCATTACTCATTTCACTAATTTGATCTTGGTCATTTGGTTTCATTCATTTGTACACACCCACTCTGAGAGCCATTGACCGTCCGCAGCATGGTGGAACATGTTGTACTGAGTGCAGTATTTCCAGTGCAGAGAGGATCTCACTGTCATTTCCAATATCATCAGCAATGTTTGTCATATTCTTTTTAAATTATTGTAACACTTGTTCAGGGTGCTGTGTAAAATGCATATTTTGAAGTTGAAGTGTATTAGCTAAAGCTTTCATGAGCTGATCAGGTGTGTCGGGGCAGGAAATTGTTAAATCTACTGTGGGTTGAGGGAAATAACACAGCACTGCATAAACACAGTGAAGAGTGGAAAATATCACTGATTACTGACGGATATGAGTTACTGCTGCTGTGAGAAGTTCAGTTCAGCGCTTCTCATCGCTGGGCTGCGGACCACAAGTGGGTGCGTTATGGCAGGCCTGTGTGCAGGAGGATGCAGTAGTTGGTAGTGGACCAGTAACAGCATTTCAAGTCATAAAAGCATGAGTGAACAAATAATTAACTTAATAACAAGTAAAAATCTAAAAAAGTAAAAGCTGAACAGTTATAAAAAATACAGATATTAACAGAGATGTACAAGTAAAAACATCACAGGAGTAGGCTAATTAAACACCATCAGTTTGAGACTATGTGCGATGCAGGCAGTTAGCTAGTCAAAGATGAAGACATTTCTTAGGGCGCTTTCACACATACACTGTATGGCCAAAAGTTTGTGGACACCTGCGTTTTCAATGTTTCATCCAAAATTAAGAATATTAAGAAGGAGTTTGACCTCCTTTACTGCAGTTATAGTCTCTACTATTCTGGGGACGCTTTACATTAGATGTTGGAACATTGCTGGGAGGATTTGATTGAGCATTAGTGAGGTCATGTACTGATGTTGGATGGTCAGTGCTGGATCACTCCAACTCATCCCAAAGCTATTGGATGGAGCTCCAACACTTCACTGCTCCACAACCCAATGCTGGAGGGCTTTAAACTCCTCTAGCTCACACTTCACATGAGGCATGTTGGCCTTAGGCTCATGTACAGCTGCTACAGAGCAACCTGTTCCATTGTCAGTATTTTCTATGGAGGTTATACAAGTGTATTTCATTTTGTGTGCATATGAACTCCTGTGTCAGCAGTGGGTGCACCTTAATGTATCTGAATTCACTAACAAGAAGGAATGTCCACAAATGTTTGGACATATAGTGTATCTTTTTTGGTGTGGTCCTATCATTTTTTCTTTAGAATCGCATTCAGAATCACTTTATTTTGCCAAGTATGTTACTTATGCAAGGAATTAGTCTTGGTGAGTCACACAATATAAATATTTTTAAAAATGTAACATCTGTACAGTTTTTAAATTATAACATTGTTACAAGGGAGTTACTGTAATACCATAAGGCTTGTTGGTTTAGTTTAGGGTAAAAGTGTGAGGTGTCCACTTTGTGTAATGAGCACTACAGCTCTGGGGAAAAACCTGTCAGTGTGTCTGGCTGTGCTGGTTTTGATGGTCCTGGATCTTCTACCAGAGGAAAAGGGTGCAGTGTTGGGTGCGGTGGGGGAGATGATGCTAACACAAAGGACTTCAGTTCCAAAAGCTATTGTTTCCATCCTACTTCTTAGCCAGACATTTTGTTTTTTTCCTATTATTTTTAATTCATTACAGATTTATAAAAGTTCTGTGACTGAACTGAGAAGACAATCTGATCTTTTTTTTCAGACCCTAATTCTCAAGTTTTCAGTGTCAGCACTTAATAAAAAAATTTGCTCAAAGTGTTCTGTCAGTCTATTCTAAAACAGGCTTTCTATCTCAGCCCTCTAGTTTACAGGACACTGCTGCTCCAAATCATCACTGTCTTGGTGTGTTAGTGTGTGTTGTGCTGGTACGAGTGGATCAGACACAGCAGTGCTGCTGAAGTTTTTAAACACCAAGTTTTTGTCCACTCACTGTCCACTCTATTAGACACTCCTACCTTGTCAGTCCACCTTGTAGATGTAAAGTCAGAGACGATAGCTCATCTGCTGCTGCACAGTTTGTTTTGGTCATCCTCTAGTCCTTCATCAGTGGTCACAGGACGCTGCCCACAGGACGCTGTTGGCTGAATATTTTTGGTTGGTGGACTATTTTCAGTCCAGCAGTGACACTGAGGTGTTTAAAAACTCCAGCAGCACTACTGTGTCTGATCCACTCACACCAACGAAACACATTTTAACACATCACCACCACCACGTCAGTGTTACTGCAGTGCTGAGAATGATCCACCATCCAAATAGTACCTGCTCTGTGAGGGTCCATGGGGGTCCTGACCACTGAAGAACAGGGTAAAAGGGGGCTAACAAAGTATCAGAGAAACAGATGGACTACAGTCTGTAACTGTAGAACTACAAAGTGCACCTATATAGTAAGTGGAGCTGATAAAATGGACAATGAGCGCAGAAACAAGGAGGTGGTCATAATGTTATGACTGATCAGTGTATTTTTCAAAAACAAAACAAAAAAATCGCAGTTTCAATACTTGTTGACTTTGTACTGTTTTCAATTATAAATAGGATTTAAATCATTTGTACATAATTACATTCTCTCACTGCAATTTTTATTTACATTCTGCACAGCATCCCAACTCTTTTGGAAATATGGTCGTGCAATTACTTGAGTATTTTCCACCCCTGACTGTTGATGTTGGATATTAAATATTATCAGCAGTATTTAACACTGTGGCTCCACTCTGTCCATCAGAACATCAGACAGTCTGAGTGTTACAGATAAATAAGTGCCCCCTTACACACATTCTTTTTTTTTTTAAATATAAACATAAATAATAATCAGGATTTCCAGAATTCAGATATAATGTGTGTGTGTGTGTGTGTGTGTTTAGTCCTGCAGGTGAAAGTGGATTGTAAACATGCAGAAAAGAGAGTGGTGAAAAAGACTTGTTCCTCCACCTGCAGCTCCAGTGGAAACTGTTACTACAATTGGTACAGGAATGGACAATATGTAGGCTGTTCATTAAGTGACAAGGTTTGGTTCGTCTCCAGCAGCTCATCTATTCAGGACAAATACTCCTGCCTGGTGTATAACTACGCCTTCCCTCAGCAAAACTGTAAGTGTCCGTTAGTCTGTCTCTCAGCACTAAACCACTGAAGAAATTAATTCCAGAAGAAATTCTAAACCAGGAAATGGATTGTGGGCTCAGAATTATAAGACTTGATCTGAGAGACTGACCATCAAAGAAACAAAGAAATTTTGTTCACAGTGTAATAAAATATAGCATGTCTGCTACTGTATGTACTCAAAGAAATCATACATGTACATCACTGTGCAAAAGTCATAGACTTCCTTTCGTTTATTTAATTTCTAGTCAAAACAGCCGTTAAGTACAAATGATTCATTTTGCCATATCAGGGATAAAAACAGAGAATAAAGTTTTATACATTAATCAGAAAATCACACGGAAACCTCAACAACTAAATGTACGTGTCGTTGTTTAGTGTTTTCACTCTTTACCTTTATTACAGCTTCCATTCTTTTCAAGAGACTCACTTTCAGTTTCTCAAAGAGATCTGCAGACACACCTCCAAAGTTCAGTTGTAGAAGTTGGTTTAACCTTTCTCTCAGCCATTTTGACCAATAAAATCTAGTTGTTATGAGATTAAGTGTATGATCCACACCCATGTAATCCTGAAGACTTTGCAGAACTACAGCACAGAATTCTTCAGAAAGGCAAGCTGATATGTTGGAGAATTGCTTTGTAAGCATCTACGATACAGAATCCAGTGATGAAACCTGAAACGACTCCACTGCTATAGTAGATAAGTAATTTGGGGAGACTCCTTTCGGACCGCTGGAATTAGCTTTTCACCATTCTCCATCTGGATTGTAACTTCCCAGAGGAGGGGCCAGCTAGTTGTTTGTTTCTGATTTTATCTTCAGAAAAATAAGGAATGATGGGTAAACAACCATGTTGGTCTTTGTTCACAAAACTGTCCATGACTGACACTAGAATTATCCAGATATGTGTGAGTAAAACGATGTATGCACTCTTGTTCTTTTTGAGATGTTGCATCATTAGTTAACCTACCTTGAGGTCTTCTTGATAGAACATCTGCATCAGCATTGTGTTTGCCTGCTCTGTATTTGAGCTTAAATGTGAAAGTTGACAAAGCTGCCAGCCACCTATAACTTGCTGCATCCATCTTGGCAGTAGTATGGATGTATGTCAAGGGATTACTATCAGTTACAATAGTAAAATGGCTCCCATACAAGTAGTCATTAAACTCTTCAGTTATTGCCCACTTTAATTCTAGAAATTCAAGTTTGTGTGCTGGGCACTGCACAAACCCCTTACTAGCATATGCGATGACTCGCATACTGCCCTCTTGTTCATGATACAAGGCTGCTCCTAGCCCTGTGGTGTTGGCGTTAGTGTGCAGGGCATAGAGGCAGAAGCTGTAGTCAGGGTTGGGATAGCTACTGAAAAATTAGTAGTTAGTTACTTTGTAGCTACTTTCTCAAATCTAGCTACTTTTGAAGAGTAGTGCACTACTTTTTAGCTACTTTCAAAGCATGATTGTCAATGTTTGTGGCTCTCCACCTGACACTCCAGACAAACCCAACTGATAGTGTGAACAAGACACTGCATTTAATCCTGTGCCGGAAAGAAACATACAATCGAAAAGCTGCAAATATACAAAAAGATCACCATAAAGTAAGTTTAAGTGTAACCAACAATCAAACTTGCACAACCAAAGGCGTAATATCCTACAAAAATTTAGACTAAAGGCAAAGTCAATCATTACAGGTTTTTCCTAAAAAAATCAAAGCATTGTCAAATGCTGAAATAAAACTGCTCCAGTTCAAACATTTCAGCAAGATAAATACTAATAATCTCTTCTATAACTATGTTTTATCACCTGTCTGTAAAGCACTTTGAGCTGCCACCGACATGAAAAGTGCTATATAAATAAAATTATTATTATTATTATTATTATTATTATTATTATTATCATTATTATTAGAAACATGACATTCAGAGTCCTTTGTTAAACTTCAGCAACTCTTTAGCCTCAAAACTCTCATCAGTAACCCTGACTCTGCACAGTACTGAAAATGTTTTCTCCGCTTTAGCTAAGCCAGGAGTCGGCAATACACGGCTCTTTTACTGCCCTGATGCGGCTCCACAGCAAAATAACAATCATCCTTTGCTGTAAAATAAAGCTCTGCTGGTCATTATAACACAGTTTTAACAATAAATGGACCTAAATGCTAGAGGTAACACAAATAAAGCTAATTCACCAACGTTAACGCTTTAAAGTGACGTGCAGACATGCTGGTCACAGCAACGCAGATAACAGTCTCGCCTAGCTCGTAGCTAATGAAATGGCAAAGAGAAAGATTAAAGATGAATATCGATAGCTTGGAGACTAATGGACTTATTTGCATTTATAATGACTTAAGCTGATTCCTTATACATTTAATCTGCATCGAGAAACTGTCAAACACTAAGTTGCGAAGCTGAAGTCAGTTTCTCCTTTGCCACCTTCTTGTTTGAATTGTCCCGTTGCACCTTAAATGGCGCAGCAGTACATTCTAGCGCCTCAGGCATCACTTAAGGTGGAACGGGATAATTCAAACAAGAAGCTGGCAAATGAGAAACGACTTTAGCCTCGTAAAAAAAAAAATGTTGAGAGACACTTTACAAGAAACACTACTTTCGCAGAAATGTTTCCTGCTGGAGATGTGAGAAAAGCATCTATAGCTGAGCTAAAGCTTAAAGTCTATGTTTTATGTTTATGATTCAGCCTATACTTCACTAGTACATTAACACATACTGATATTTACCACCATGATGGTAAAATGGGCATAAAATGGTTGTGGCTCCCAAGGTAGTTTCATTTTTGTTGAAAGGACAAAATGGCTCTTCTTAACATTTGGGTTGCGACCCCTGAGCCAAACCTACGAGTAAGGGGTGATCAGTGCATGTGTGACGATTCAACAGAATTCAGACGCTCGCGGATAAAAGGAGCAACAGTTGTTTTACTATCGTCAGGCAAAGCCGTGGTCAGAAAACAGGCGTGGGTCAAATCCAAAAAAGCCAGCCAGATCACAATCGTGATAATAATACCAGGCAGTCAAGATCAAAGGGATAAAGCAAAAATCGTGGTCAAAGAACAAGCCAAAACGTCAAAAACACAGATCCACAGCAGGCAGAAGTACCAAGGGGTTAGGCAAAAAACAAGGTCAGGGAAACAAAGCACAGGTCATAACAGGCAAAGACAATCAGAAATATAACGCTCGGTAAGTTCTTGGAATAAACAATACCTCGCAATGTCTACATCTAAAGCCCGGGCTTATATACTGAACTAATACAGTCATATGACAAGATACACAGGTGCACCACATTAGTATTCAGGCGATCGGGAGCGCTGATAGGTGCGTGTGCTATTGTCTGATGTCATGTGATCTCCTGAAGGATTGTGGGCAATGGAGTCTGTTTTGGTTTCCGAGTCCGAGGGAAGTTGTTTTGACATGTGATCTCCACATGCATGCTGGGAAATGAAGTCCGAATCTTCCCGATGCGTGACAGCATGGGACCAGCGCTTGACCATTTGCTCAGTCAGGATTGCACAATCGCGACCAGCCCAGTTAACGCCCGCGTTCTATCGTTCAAATTTTGCATGGATCGCCTGAAGCCTGTAGCAAAATTGTAGCAAAACTTATCGCTATAGCTACACAAAAATGTGTAGGCGCTACAGCTATTCGCTACATTTCATAAAACTATAGCCGCTACAGCTATTAGCTACAGAAAATTGTAGTTAGCTACAAAAAGCAGCACGCAACTTAGCTACTCCCCCATCCCTGGCTGTAGTAAGTTTTATTATGATGGTGTTTAACGCAAACTCATAGGCAGGTGTCCACCAACCACAAAAGGGTTTCTTTGGGTCATAATACTGGCTGGTCTTAACTTCAGTCAGGGGCTTACTGATGCTAGAATAAGCCTTGATAAATCATCTGTAGTATCCTGAAAAACCAGGGAAAGATTGTAAGTCTTTGAAGTCTTGGGGTCTGGACCATGTTTTCAAGGCTTCCACCTTTCACCTCAGGGTCAATCTCTATTCCGTCATGAGATATTATACATCCTAAATATCTTACAGAAGTTTGTAAAAATCTGTATTTCATCAGCAAAAGCTTAAATCCGTATTTCTTCAGGTGATTGAGCCTCGTCTCATGTTCCTGTGATGTCTTGGAGAAAATAATTCGGTCCTCAAGAAAGACTAGGAACTTCTTCAAATTCATATCTCTTCTACATTTCTCCATTAGATGAATGGTACCGGGAGCATTAGTAATGCCCTGCAGCATACAGTTGAATTCCCTGAAACCAAGGGGGGCACAGAAAAGTGGTATTTGCTCTGTCAGCCTCTTTCACCTTTCACCAACTCAAATATGACAAAACATGAGCATAGCTCAACATGTTTAACTAGTCTGTAACAGAAAATTCCTTAGTGTTTATCTAAATTACAAGTATTTTAAATAGCTAGAAAATAGCTAATCATTATTATAACAGAATAGGGAATCCCCATTGTATGGTTAGCATTTTGGGTAACTATAAATAGTATCATTCACTGCTTGTTTTCTTACCAGTGCTGGGACTCCACAGCAAACATTTGTCAATTGGGATAGTGAAGAACCTCTGGTTTCAGATCACAGTGAGTAGATATGCTTGATAAAGGTGAACTAAACCATTTTAATTCACATTCATCATCTTGTTTTCTCTTTCAGCGCAGGTTAGACTAGAGAGATCTTAACAGCGCCTGCTCTATTGGCTGCAGTTGTCCAAAGAGAACGTAAATTGCAGTGTCCTGCAGTATTATTACTTAATGTGGCTACATTGAGTTAGCTTATTGTCTGACAAACTTTCTAGATCTTGCAGCACTTAAAAAGCAATAGAAAAACAATAAAATAGCTGAGATTTGGACAACACTGAGAAAATAAACCTTTTTTTCTAATAATCATGTCTGTCCTTATTTTAAAGGACTAATCACATAAATATAAATATAGTTGAAATTTCTCTGCATAAGAATGCATATTGATTATTTTTCAATAATAGAAGCCACAGATTATCATTTGTATTATGATCTAATTTATATTGAGTCTTGTTAGGATCTTGTTTTATTTGCTTTTTTAACATGGGCTACATACACATCCTTTCAGACCCATAGTGCTGAGTCATCTTCTCACAGTGGAAGGATGGACAGAAACACCTGTGGATGTTCACATCTGGAGCAAGAAAACAGTTTGATTTTCTCCCGTCTCTCAAACAAGAAAGATTTAAGTGTTGTTTATTGTCTGGGGAAGAGGACAGAGCTGTAACCTGTAAATTAAAAGCTGATAGATTTCATATCATACTCAGTGTTGGAGGCGTTCATTTAATTTTCCTTTCAAAATGTTCCTGCTTTGTTTTTTCTAACAGTGCAAAAATGAGTGACGTACTTAATGACTGTTTTGAAAGGAAGTAAAATGAAACAGTGGTCTCTCAATTTTGCACAGTACTGAACATTTCATTGTGAGAATTTGCACAGATTTCATCAGCTTGTCAATATTTGGATCAAAAGCATCAAGATGTAACATGATAATTTCATAGTATAAAACTGTTCTATAATAGTATAAGTATTTCATACTACGTTAATAGTGTAAATGTAGTATACTCTATATTCTGTATGTTATGTGTATATAAAAAATGGAGAAAGATAAAATTTGTCTTTTGTGCTACATTAGTAGAAAATAGTTAAACGAAGAAACAAGGTGCTGTAATATGTTCATTTCCTTACATGTATTTACTATAGCACTGCGTCTCTTTGTTTTACTCAGTTATTCTGAAAGGTTTTAATGAGTGTTATTCTTTGGAAATGTTAGAAAGTAGCATGGTTGGATCCTGGTAATGACTGGGAATTTTAAAGAACTACATACAGCATCCTTAAATCAGAAAATTATTTTCTATAATGTAATACTGGAAGTCATACACTCTTAGGTGCCAGAAAAGGTTATTTGTGCACGGGTGGGAGCAGGACAAAACTCAGTTGTGGAGGAGCAGGAGCGGGACAAATGATTCTAATTTTCTGCAGGGGCACCAGTGGGATGGGCAGAAGGGGGACTGAAAAAACAGTCCCCGTGTAGACCCCCCTAGTGTGAAGATCCTTTTAAATTTGAAGAACCTCTACATAATATAAAGGTTTTTGGAAGAACTCCTCCGTTGGTAAAGTACCTTTACATAATGTGAAAGGTCTTTATACCTTCAAAAGGTTCTTACTCACACACCTCATTTGCAAACCTGGTTCTTTAGGGTTCTTAAAATGGTCCTATGTCATCACTCAAAGAAACTTTTTTGTCACCTTTTTTAAGAGTGTAGATAGTAATCTGTGAGAATCTTACAGCTGCAGACTGATATTATATCATTCTTTCTTCCTGACTGTGACTCTGTGTTCCAGGTGAAGAGCAGTGGGGTGTGACCTACACTCCTGAACGTGTCTGTGCTCTGAAAGGATCATCAGTTAATTTCTCCTGCACTTATAAACACCCTGAAGGACTCACAGTGACTAAATCACTCTGGTTCATTGAAAGTCAGTGGGAGCGAGATGTTGAGCCTGTGGATGTGGGAGAGTATAATCAGTATAAGGGGAGAGTGCAGTACAGCCAGACCCTGAACCACTGTAGAATGACCATCACTGACCTGAGAGAGAGTGACGCTCACACATACAAGTTCAGATTCTACACTGATGATCCTGACGGCATTTACTCAGGCAGACCTGGAGTCACTCTGTCTGTCACAGGTAACTCTGGATAATAAAGACCTGCATTCTGACTAATTCTGATATTTCAGTATGTGTAAAAGTGAATGAATGGATATTCAGTTAATCACAAGGAAGGAAAGAGAAAACAGACCTGTATTTTTCCCTCCCTGACTTTCCATGATGCAGCATAACAAATACCCCAACAGTGTTCAGATACTGACACCTGGAACAGTTAACCGAGTATCCATACACACCCCTACTAGATACATACAGTGAGTGTAGTTAACTGTAAGAGTATCTACAGATGAAAATAACACTAAACCTTGTTTAAAATCACCTGCAGGTCTGAAGGTTACAGTGTCAGATACAGATGGAGGAGTAAAGAAGCTGACCTGTAGCTCCACCTGCACTCTGCCCAACCCCACTTACATCTGGTACAAGAACAGACAGCCTGTATTTAACCAGAACAGAAATGAACTGAATCTGAGAGACAGAACTGTGGATGCAGGCAGCTACTCCTGCGCTGTGAAAGGATACGAGGAGCTCCGCTCTCCTGCTGTCTGTAAGGCCTCACTTTAAACTGTTATAGTTCAGTTTGTTCACTGCAGTTTCTTTCACTACAGCTAAGTTTGTGTGTTTTAGGTGTTTTTGATAAAGTCCTGCAGCTGACAGTGGAAGGTCCTGTAGCCACAGCGTCAGAGGGACAGACAGTAACACTGACCTGTAGCTCCACCTGCACTCTGCCTAGCAGATCCACTTACATCTGGTACAAGAACAGACAGCCTGTATCTCAGTGTGAATCTGCCTCCTGCTCTGTAGCTGTGGTCAGTGAAGCGGTCAACTATAGCTGTGCTGTTAAAGGCAGTGCTCTCCACTCTCCTCCAGTGTGTGAGTACAGATTTTCACATGCACTAATAATCTTCAGTACATTACTGTATACGAGAGTGCTTCAGGTATCAGATCAATTTAGTATGTTAAATAAAGGCAACTCAGCAAACAGACAATAATAAATAATACTAAAACATCTCAACTATGCATAGCTTGTTTATTAGGTGCACCAGTCTTCTACCTTCACTCCCCGGTCATTTTATCAGATATCAGGTACACCTGCCTTGTAAGTCCTTTATGTAGGTGTACAGTTACAGACTGTAGTCCATGTGCTGCTGCTCAGTTTTTCAGCCCCTCTACCCATCCACCAGGAATGGAAGGGGTGTGCTGTGGTATGAGTGTAACAGATATAGCAGTATTGCTGCAGTTTTTACAGTACTAGGGGGAGAGTCAACCCTCCAAGCAAAAATATCCAGACAAGAGAAACTCTGTGGTCAGAAACGGACTAGAGGATGACTAACACAAACTGTATATTACCAGATGAGCTGCAGTCTCTAACTGAACACCAGCAAGGTGGTGCTTTCAGAACTGGGTTAAGGGAAGCCTGGACACTTCCTGTTTCTCTTATCAACTTTGAGTTTATTCAGCAGTGCAGCAGCAGTATGTTATGAGATAACAAAGCCATACAGCACAGGCGATACAACGTTTTGAGAATATTCAGTTAAATATATTCAGCTAAATCTCTCACTCATTAGGTGCAGTATAAAAGTGTGTGGTTTGGAATGCAGCAGTACATCAGCCAGTGAGATGTGTTCAACAATTCTGCAGCTCCAGTGGCTGATTATAGCTCTGCTGTGCTACTCATTAGCTGCTCATTAAGCATCTTCAAGAGAAAGTTTAAGGTGTTTCCTGATTAAGGATTTTCCTGATTATTATGGTAAACTAGCTAGATGTTTACGTATTTTTATGTGTCATGATTCTGGCTTCTTATTGACCAGCTTATTTTTTAAAATTCGTTCCATGTTTAATGCCGCCAAATGTTTCTGCAGCAGCACTTAAGGTGTAACAGAAAACTAATAATAAGCTTACTTATTGTGCTTAAATTGTGCTTATTATTGGAGTTGCAGTCTGGGTGACAATGTGTTTGTGTAAAGTCTCATGCATTGATTGAAATGTTATAGACTTACGAGATATTCAGGTTAATGTTATATGGATCCAGTCCACAGATCAAGCTGATCTTCTCCAGATAGCACTTTCTGGAGATTGCATCTTGAGTGTCCACTTATCTTTTCATCTTTTTATGGTCATTCTGGTCTGTTTTGTTTGGTCTTCATCCACCTGTAGGGCTGTAGCTGCCGTAACAGTGAGGAGACAAGCTGTATCAGAACACAGTCAGAGTTACAGCTCACCTACCAGAATGTCAGCAGGGCATTCTTAATGATGTAATCGAATACTATGAATACAAAAATTCGAAATTCATCATTTGTAAATTATGAGTACACTGCACACCAGGCAGAAGCTTTATGTCTGTCTTGTTTGTGAGTGTGCTGTTGAGGAAAGTTCACAGATAGACCCTAGAGAGTGTTTGAGCTCCTGACCTTTTACCCTTCCGCTGTACAAGTGCCCTCTTGGTCATTGTGTATAGTAATTAAGTTTTATTTGTCCATTCTTCAACATTTTCAGTCTCGCCCAAGAAAAGAGCTCCTTGTCCAGCTCAGGTTCCAAGCTTTATCACTCCTGGTGCTGTGTTAACCCCTTGTGGAGATTTCACCCCAAAAACATGGATGGACACTTCACTACAGCACTAGAAAGCCAAACAATAAAGCACTGATGATCTCTTTAGGAAACAGTCACACTGCATAAAGCTGTTATTCTGATCAAAACATGATGTTTGGTCAGGCTCTGTCGAGCCCTTAGCTCACTAGTGCAGAGCAGTTCGGTAGTTCAGTAGGTAACGTTAACAGTCCCATACACTGGAACCTGTCGCTCAGTGGTATATTTACTGCTTTGGGAAAAACACTTAATAGTGTGTTTGGTTTCCTCTGAGACATGATTAGACTGTCTCTCATGATAAAAGTTTAATTCACATTCATGTTGCCCTTTTTTCTTTAAATTCATTATTATTATTGACATTAACTGCAGCTTATTGTAAAAAACATAGGTAATTACATAAATAAAGTGACAAGCACATTTAGTCAGTTGTCTTAGTTGTAGTCTTAAACTACAAAGAGAACCTATACAAGAAGTGTACCGGATTATGGGGTAACTTGAATCTTTATCACCTTTCCATTCAGGCTCCCCTAAGAACACCAGAGCGGTCATTCTTCCCTCTGGACAGAGAGTGGAGGGAGATTCAGTGACTCTGACCTGCAGCAGTGATGCAAACCCTCCTGTGCTCTCCTACTACTGGTTTAATCAGAGCTCAGATGTAGTGCTGGGAACAGGACAGAATTACAGCATCACCAGCATCAGCTCCCAGCACAGCGGACTCTACTACTGCACCGCTCACAACCAGCTCGGACAGAGCAGCTCAGGACCCTCCCGTCTGGATGTGTTATGTAAGAGCAGTTTGTTCTGTCTGATCTGTTTGTCTCTGAGTGTAAGAAGTTCAGTAACTAGTCGAGTCTCTGTCTTGTTCAGACTCTCCCAGACCTCCATCTGTATCTGAGATTGGGTTTAATGGCTCAGTCAGGCTGGTCTGTATCAGTGACTCCAACCCTGCCAGCTCTTACACCTGGTTCAGGAAGATAGGAGGAGACATCACACAGTTTGGAGAAGGAGCCAATTTAACTTTAGCTGCAGGAACAGATGGAGTTTTCTACTGTATGGCAGAGAATCAGTTAGGATCATCCAACTCATCAGAATGGACTTTTACATCAGGTATGTTATGGGTTGACTTCATGGCCTTTTTAATCAACTGTTAGTCAACAATCAGGCCTTTTAGTCAACCATAAAACAAAGTTGTTAATGAAAGAGTGTTTTTTTTTTCTGGATGAGGTGAGATTCTCAAGACGCTTAGCTCTTAGAAATTTTGACTTAATATTACTAGTTGCCATATGTTGCTACCATTGTGTACATTCAGTGCTAATTCAAAAATCACAGAAGAAATCATGGAACTTCTTCAAAATACAAACAGTTCTGGGTTCAGATTTGTAACTGTACTGTGCCGTACTGCCTGGTGGAAAATGTCTTAAGTCAACTATGAAACAATTGTTAATAAAAGAAAGAAAGAGTACTAGAGTACTAGCACTCCAGTGGATGAAGTGAGAGTCTCAAGACCTTCGCTCGTTAGAAGTCTTAACTAAATACAGTGCTGTCCTCAAATATTGACAACCTGGATAAACGACCAAAATGGGCTGTAAAAAACATTCTTTATTGTTGATCATTGATCTTTCTTTCAAAACAATAACAAAGTCTAACCTTTATTTGAAGTACAGTGCTTGAAAGAAAAGTCCTATATCTGACAAAATAAATATTTTTCTTAAATCTGTATAAGTCACAATTGTTGGTACAATTTTGTTGCTGGCTTCATTTAAGCTTCCCTTAAGCTTTCCTTAAGCTTCCCTTCAGCTCAATCTACATGTTTTCTATGGGGTTTAGGTCAGGGGACTGGGGTGGCCATGGTAAAACCTGAATTCTGTGGTCAGTGAACCATTTTAGTGTTGATTTTGAGATGTCATTTGGATCATTGTCCTGGAAGATCCTAATGTAGCCCAGTTTAAGCTTCCTGGCTGAGGCAGTCAGGTTTTGATTTTATTGCTGCTGATACTCGATGGAGTCTGTGACACCATATATCCAAACAAGTTCAAGCCTTTGGAAGAAAAACAGCTCCACAACATCAAAGATCCACCACAATACTTCACAGGGGGGTTGAGCTGTTTTTCTGTATGACTCTTTTTGTGTCTGTGCCAAACTCATCTCTGCTGTTTGTTGCCATAAAGCTCTATTTTGGTCTCATCTGACCACAAATCATGGCAAATCATTAGGAGGGCTTTGTTGATTGACTTTGCTGTCATTTCATCTGACTTGGGACCATATGTTCTGGACACTCGGGTGAAGAGAGATGCTGAGCTGTCAACCGATCACCATCAGGTGGTGAGTTGGATCAGATGGCAGGGAAGACAGATGGTCAGACCTGGTAGGCCCAAGCAAATAGTGAGGGTGTGATGGTAAAGACTATCAGAGGCCCCTGTTTGGAATGATTTTAACTCCCACCTCTGGGAGAGCTTTGTCACGTTCCAGAGGATGTAGGGGACATGGAGTCTGAATGGATCCTGTTCAAAACCTCCATTGTGGAAGCTGCCAGGCGTAGCTGTGGCCAAAAGCTTATTGGTGCCTGTCAGGACGGTAAACCAAGAACACTCTGGTGGACACTGGTGGTGAGGGAGGCCATCAAGCTGAAGAAAGAAGCCTTTAGGGACTGGATGGCCTGGAGGACTCCCGACTCAGCAGATAGGTACAGACAAGCAAAAAAGGTGGCAGCAGCAACGGTGGCGGAAGCAAAATCCAGGGCATGGGAGGAGTTCGGCGAGGCCATGGAAAAAGACTTTCGGTCGGCCTCAACGAGGTTCCAGACACCTGTCCGGCAACTCAGGAGTGGTCAGGGTGGTTTCGCCCAAGCTGTATTTGAAAATTTCAAATGAGGATATGGTCGGTCAGTGGAAAGAACACTTTGAGTAACTCCTTAATCCGAGAGACATGCCTCCCTCATGGGAGTCAGGGCCAGAGGCTTCTAGCATATCAGGCTTCATTTCCCTGGTTGAGGTCACTGAGCTATTTGGCAAGCTCCTCAGTGGCAAGGCACAGGGGGTGGATGAGATTTGCTCAAAAATGCTTAAGGCTCTGGATGTTGTGGGGCTATCATGGTTGACATGCCTTTGCAGTATTGCATGGACCTTGGGAACAGTACCCTTGGACTGGCAGACTGGGATGGTGGTCCTATTTTTAAGAAAGAGGACTGGAGGGTGTGTGCCAACTACCGGGGTAACAATTGGTTTAATTCACTGACCATAGGCTTCTAGTGGCAACATATGTGAATGTTAAAGTCCCCCAGAATCAATGTCCGGTCTGACATCACAGTTACTACAGATAAAAAGTCAGAAAATTCCTTAATAAAGTCCTTATTTGTTTTAGGTGGCCTGTAGATAAGAATGCAGAGCAGGGTGTCTATGGATTCAACTTTAAAAATAAGTGAGTCAAAGCTAGAATACACATCAGTAGAGAGAGCAGAGCATTTGTATCCATTTCTAAGAACAACTGCAACCTCTCCACCTCGTCCGGTCCGCAGAGAGTTGAAAAAGCTACAGTAGGGCACAGATCATCAGCTCAGAGCTGCGTTCCAACTAAAAGTAAAAAGTCTAGCTCTTGTCATTTAAATCTAGTGATTTAAATTGAAGGACTGACCTTGATACTGACCTAACGTTAGCAAAGGCCATTCTTGCAGCTGGGACAGATTTTTGAGATGCCCAAGATTCATGTTCTAAAGACCGCAGGTTTCAGTTTTCAATGCCTCTTCTGCTGCGAGCAGGTGTTCTCTGGATCACAGGGCAGTTGAGCTGTACTGATGATTGTGCAGGGTGAACAGGCACCAGAAGAGCTTGGTTCTGTGCACGAGAGTAGAAGCGCAACTTCACTCTCACTCCAACTTGTTTTCCACGCTTTCTCTGGCACTTCCTTTTCTGCATGGTGCAGCAGGACAAGCGGCAAACACATGCTTCAGTCACCGGGGAGAACTGCAGATGACAAAAGCAATCTTGATCCGTCTGATGGGCGGGTGTGTCCATGGCAGATCGTATTGTGAGCAAAGCTTCACGGTCATATTGAAACTGAATTGCTGATAGTGTCTGGAGCTGCTGGATGAGGCACACAAGCCCAAACACACATAAAACGGGTAGCAGCAAGGCAGGTAGGAACGGGGTCGCCAGGATTCTTAACATCTGCATTGGTTTTAAGTTTTATAATAATTGCTCATAAGAACTTTAAAATATGAAATATGAATGAGAATATAGTTGTTAGATTTCATTAATAATTTCTTGGTGTTGCTAATATAGATTTGAGGAAAATACTTATTTCACAGTAAGGTTTTTTTTTTAATCAGTGGTTAGTTTTTTGTTTTTAAATAAATAAATACTTTAAATAAAACACCAATAGGATACAAACTGAAGAGGGATTTCACAGCCTGTTTTGCTCATGTTTCCCGGGGGTGCCAGCATTTTAGGAGTGCAATGTATTTGTTATGACATTAAGTGCAAAAAAATAATGAAATAATAATGTAGTTGTGTAAGTAATTACATTTGCATTTGTTTTGCATTATGTGTAGACAGGTTTAAATCAGCACTTCAGACTTGTTCTGTATTTATTTATTTGAATTAATGATAAAAACAAGGATGGTTCAGAAAGCAGTCTGGGTAGAAATGTGGAACAAACTGTAAAGTCTGGAATGATGATCCTTGATGATGTGTGGAAACCCTTCAGTTGCTCCTTTCAGACGGGAAGCAGATCCTGATAGACATGAACAGCACAATCTCTAATCGTTTTCCCACAACTTCCATTCCAGTAACTCTGATACAGTCTGTCTGCAGAAACAACACTCAACAACCACTTTGGAAATGGGCGGGGCTAAACTGCTGTAGGTGGAATGGGTGGGGCTAAACTGCTGTAGACTGAATGGGTGGGGCTAAACTGCTGTAGGCTGAATGTGTGGGGCTAAACTGCTGTAGGCTGAATGGGTGGGGCTAATTATATGGGCCCTTATTACAGATCCACTAAATGCTTTTGTAAATCTGGTAGTTCAGTGTAACAGTATTTATCATTTTAATGCTCTAAAAGTTTCTTTATCTCTGTTCAGCTGGGCTGTGGAAGCAGTTTGCTGTTTGGGGAACTGTTGGATTTGTTTCTGCTCTGGTTCTGTTTCTTATTATTGCTGTTCTCTGCATTTGGTGAGTGACTGTATTCTTTGGTTATTACTATGAATATCTAAATATGTATCTAAACACAGTTTTAATCATGAATTCAAATTTATCCTCAAATGGAAACTCTTAAATCAGCCTGTTTGTGTTTAATCTGTGTGATCAGGAGGAAAAGAGGAGCAGAGAGAGGAGCTGATGTTCAGGTACTGAGAGAAAGTTTTACTCTTTCTGTTTATAAACATGTTCCTTTAAAGTTGATACCAGAGATGGTATTTTGTCTGTCAGTTTTGCTGCAGTCAAAATCAGTCACTACTACAACAGCATTCTTCTGCAGCTCACAGTGGTGTGAGGCTCAATATGGCTTCAAATAATATGGTTTTCATTACAGAAAAACCTCCTGATGGACACAATGAAGCACTAGATAGATAAACTAAATGCAGTGTTTAAAGAAAAGAGGGAAAACAAGTTGAAACAGTTGGCTATGCTAGTTAGCACAATAGCCATTATAGCTGAAGTTTATAGCTAATCTAGCTGTAGTTTTAATAAGTCACAGATCTCACTGAGATTTCGGCTAAAACTGGGTGGGGCTAAAACTCCTGTCGGCTAAATGAGTAAGTGAAGCTAAAACATCACAATTTACTGTGTGTACTGCTTCAGTTGTCCATCAGACTGAAGGTTCTTCTGTAATGAAAGGCTTGTTATTTGAAGCTGTGTTGAATCTGAAAGGTTTACAGTTCCTGCAGCTAAAAACTGGACTATAATTCTGTACCAAAGACTCGAGACTTGACTCTGACTCATGAATAGACTTGTAAGCATCTCTGAAAGATCCTAAATAGAAACTGAAGCTTTGTTTTCTCTGAAAGGCTCCAAAGTCTGGAGACGAAACATACTCAGCTCTGAGCCCCAACACCATGTTCTCTGATTATGACACTCTGACTGTAAGTCTGGTGTGTGTGACTGAGTATTATTGTGGTTAGTGTATTTAGATTTATTATTTTAAATATTATTTTATTTTACAGCCTGTTAGAGACTCTCCTAGTGACACGTACTCAGCCCTGAACCCTGAAACCAGGACGTCTGATAACGACACTCTGACTGTAAGTCTGCACTCTGTGTACCTTCATTCTCTGGTTGAGCTTCATAACAGTTCCTAAGATCTCCTGTTTTTCAGGTTGTCCGTCCTCACCCAGTGATGAGAAGAGCTCCAGAGAACGAGAACTAACAGCTGTGTTCATTTACTCTTCATTCACCACTGTAGCTTCAGCTCTATGGACAGAACATTAAAGAGGCGTACGGAGGATTTCTGAGGATTAAAGAGCTTTTAGAGCTCAAAACACATCAGATGATTCCTAAAGTCAGAGTGATTCTCTCAGATCAGTCAGAGGAGCTTCTGTTTATGAAGGGTCTTTATTCACTGTTGTGCTTTTATACACCATGATGATTCAAACATGGACCAGAATCAGGCAGTTCTGATCATTCAGTATGAACAGAGTTAAGATGATTTGAATCCTGTTTGATTAAAATGTCACTGTGTACAGTTAGATTTATTAATATAATTTTTCTAAGTTTGGATATTTTAAATCACTTTTTTGTAGCTTTATTCTTGTGTGTTTTCATTATTTTAGATTAGTAGATCCTCTTAAACTCTTCTATAGTTGTTCTATACTGTCATTGTTCTAAATGTGCTACTAAAAACAGACTATTAATAAAGTTTTGAAGCAGGTTTTGTTTTCCTGTTTAATGAACAGTGAACAGGTGAGAGATTCCTGGATGGATCTGCTGGCTGTTTTCATCACTGCTTTCCTTCAGCTTCCTTATTTCAGCTCTTCCAGTTCATGTAAAGCTAGCTGTAAGTAATTGGGGTGTTTTTACAAAAATAGCAGCTTGTTAATTAGATGTATAGAAAACATACAGAAATATGTAACATTCATAAGGAAGCAGGTTTGGTAAATATTGGTTAAGTACTAAGCAAGTTACTGCCTGTTTAAACTTGACGAATCATATTTCAGTGTGTGTGTTTGTTTACCAGTAGAACTGGACTTTTCCCATATGGCGGACATGCAGACCCACCACTGCGATTGAGAATGACCAGCGCAGCGTCAATGTCAGTGTTATAATGCACAATTTGCAAGATTTAGAGGAAATAAGGAAGCTAAAATATAATCTAGTCTAATCAGTGGCACAGATAATCCATTACTGATAAACTACAAACTGACAGTTTCTCCCACAGACCTTTTGCACTTTGCAGGAGTTTGAGTTTGTAGTGATGAATGCAGTGAATGTTTCTGTTCTGCACTCACAGATATTCATACTGAGCCTCCTGATATGAACCAGCACCATGACTATTAATGCTGCCTTTAAAACACATCGTACTGCACTTTTCCTGTTTATCTGTTTAGGAAATAAATATATCCACTGTGTTTAGATTAAGTCAGATGGTTAAACAGGAACAAAGAGAGAAAACAGAAGAGGGCCCAGTTTCCCAAAAACACCTTAGTGTTAAGATCATCTTAACTGGGAGAGAGAGAGTTCAGAGTGATGCTCGCTCTACCATTTAAGAATCATCTTTGTGCTCAGATGCTTTTGGGGAACAGCCATAACTGTAGGAAGAGGAGGAGCTCTAGAAAAAAGCAGTAATAAAATAATAACACAAACAGACATTTTTTAGAAAAATAATCACACCATGTCATTTTCCCCATAATTACACCATTCCTACTGTCTGAAATATGAACATGAGACAGTTTATTATTTTCACATTTCAGTTCTTCCAGTTGTGTTAATCTGAAGCAGATAAAGCAGTTTGAACTTCTTCCAGTAGGGGACGCAGTGCACCACTTGTTCCCCCCAAACTCCTCCTGTGTGGAAGACCAGCTGAAGTGTAGGTCACTGTTCTCAGCCACTCTTCCTGTAACTGCAGTGACCCTCACTGTTTCAGCCTCTCATCACTGGATACTATCAGTTATTCAGTCTCTCTCTCTGTCAGTCAGTAATTAAAGAGACTGTCAGCTCCGTTACAGACACTCAACATCAGAAATGATGCTACAGATTTAGGACTTGATGATCTTTAACCAAAGAGAGATTTAAAACTGAGTTTAATCCACAATTCAAATGGAGTTAAAAGCTAGAAAAGCTCATCTTTCCTGCCTGATCAGGACTGTGTGGGCGTGTCTGACCTCACGCTGATTGACAGCAGCATAAAGCAGCATAAACAACCAACAGCAGCAGCAGATTTTTACACTTTTACAGCTTTTATTTTCTGGACTTTTAAAAATTCTGATTGGTACGAGGAGAAACTGGACGTCGGCCTCTTCCAACATACTGCCCACCTCAAAGCCAACAGAGGAAACAGTGCAGGAATCTGTCAATCAAAATCTCCAACATTGTTCTTTATTTGACAGTTAATAGTGAATTCATGCAGGAGCCGATCAGAGCTAGAAGCACCAACAGATTAAGGAAATAATCTGAAAGTCGCTTTAAATCAGTCTGAGTTATTCAGTAATACTGACACTCAGTGTTACAGCCAGTAATGTAGTCAGACTGGAATGCAGTCAGTTCAAACGGGCGCTTTAGCCCCGCCCCCAGTTAGATATTTTATCTTTAGCCCCGCCTCCTCATCGGTTTCCCCGTTTAGCCCCGCCCCCTCAGACTGTTAGGCGATTAGAGCGTAAATAGCGTCAGACTAAACTTGAAGTTTTCCAATCTGCATGGAAGGAGAGACTTATAGACTATAGAGAAGCACTAAAGTCAGCACGTTCAGCCTCTCAGTCTCTCGTCAATGACTGAAAATAACAAGAATAATCCTAGACTACTATTCAGTACTATCTCTAAATTAACAAACAATTAAGCAGCTACTGAAGCCCAGATACCATCAGCCTACAGCAGCAATGACTTCATGAACTTTTTTAATAATAAATCGAATCGATTAGGCACAAAATTCAAAACACGCAGCTAACAAGTGCAGCGTCCTATAAACCTAATCTAGATCTGGAGTGCAGTATAACCACTACAGAGACGCTGGAGTCTTTTACTTTACTCCAAGAAACAGAGCTCATCCAAATTATTTCATCTTCAAAAACAACAACCTGTATACTAGATCCAATTCCTACAGGTTTACTTAAAGACGTTTTGCCAGAAATAACCAAGCCTTTTCTATCTATAATAAACTCTTCTCTCAGCCTCGGCTATGTTCCAAAGTCTCTTAAATTAGGTGTAATTAAACCCCTAATTAAGAAACCCAGTCTTGACCCCTCTGAGCTATCAAACTATAGACCTATTTCAAATCTTCCCTTTTTATCAAAAATTTTAGAGAAAGCCGTGGCAAAACAATTATGTTCCCATCTGCATACAAGTAATATATATGAAGATATACACAGATGATACACAGTTATATATTTCAGCTAAACCAGAGGACAAAATTGAACTTAATAAGATAGAGGACTGTGTAAAAGACATTAAAGAATGGATGTCAAGTAACTTCCTCTTACTAAATTCGGACAAAACAGAAGTCCTTCTTCTTGGTCCAAAAGCTGCTAGGGATAATCTGCCTACGTTTACTCTTAATCTCGATAGTTTCTCAATTGCACCAGGCACATCTGTAAAAAGCCTTGGTGTCACGATTGATCCCAGTCTGGCCTTCGATGAGCATATTACCAATATTACCAGAATAGCTTTCCTCCACCTGCGTAACATCGCTAAATTAAGAAATGCACTGTCGCTACAGGATGCAGAAATGTTAGTTCACACCTTCATCACGTCCAGGTTAGATTACTGTAACGCTCTGCTTTCTGGTTGTTCCAGCCAAAACCTTAACAAGCTTCAGTTAGTCCAGAACGCTGCAGCCAGAGTTCTCAGCAAAACCAGGAAATTCGACCACATTAGCCCAATTTTGTGTACCTTACATTGGTTGCCATCTAAATTCCGCATTGAGTACAAGATTCTTCTACTGACGTATAAAGCTTTGAATGGCCTTGATCCTCAGTACCTCAGTGACCTTATTTCCTATTATCAACTGACACGCCCACTTAGATCACAAGGTGCTGCTCATTATTAGTACCAAGAATTAATAAAGTTACGTCAGGGGGAGGAGCCTTTTCATACAACACCCCCCAGCTTTGGAATAACCTACCAATCAGTGTTCGGGACTCAGACACAGCCTCCATCTTTAAGTCTAGGCTAAAAACATACCTGTTTAGTTGAGCCTTTGCTTAATTAGTTTTCATGTTAGAATAAGGTGCAGATCTGGGACAGAGAGTCTGGGTAATCTGGGAATTTTGGTGCTGAACTAACTATCTGTCCCCCTTACCCCCTGGACTCTCAGTGAGGAGTTAGCTTAGCAGCTAAAACAAACAGCTCTACAGAAAAGTCGCTTTAGGCTCAAACACAGAAAAAACACCCAACAAAAGCCGTTAATGTTGATCAGATGCTCAACATGCGGCTCAGCAGCACATCTGGGGGAGTTTATTTCACTGGTTTTCCTCAGAAAACCACAATCTCTGTTTTAGCATTTAGTAGCTCATCACGCTAATCCTGTTAGCTTTCCTGGCAGGACAGCTCAGTGTAAAGTGGGTTTAACTCAGCTAAACGCTAATATAACGCACTAAACCCACACGGTACCGACCCATTTTACTGGATTAAGGACAGTTTTACTGAAAGCTGTGGAAGAAAATGTTCTTTTTGCCTTGTTAGATGGGCCTTAATGTGGAGTTGGTCCCCTTTTCTGCTATAACAGCCTCCACTCTTGTTGTTGGAGAGTGGAGTGTCTGTGGGAATTTGTGCCCATTCAGTCAAAAGAGCATTTGTGAGGTCAGACACTGATGTTGGACGAGAGGCTCTGGTTCTCCACTCTAGTTCATCTCAAAGGTGTTCATTGGGGTTGAGGTCAGGGCTCTGTGCAGGGCACTGAACTTCCTCCACACCATTCACACCATTCTGACTGACTCTTGGCACAGATCACACCTAGATGTTTTTTAAGTGGTCTCAAGTGAAACAGGAAGGGACCCTGAGCTAAAAGTGGGGGTGAGGTGTTGATGACAGACCACACAATGCAGATCACGTCTTCTGTGTCTTTGCTGACTTTCTCTCTGCTGAGATCAGAACAGTTCATAAGTGTAGGAGAGTCAGAGTGAGGAGCTTCTGGACCTTCTGGACCTTCAGGTATCCGCTGTGTTTGAAGAGTGATGCTGCCATGTTTTCCCAGAGCTCAGCAAATATTACAGCAGCACTGATCCTCATTTTACTGGCAGGTAAACTTTACATTTATTTACGTTTCTGCTCTTAATGTGTTTGTGTTCCACAGCGTTGATCTACATCTGTGTCAGATTAACGTGTAGAGACTAAAAATCCTTCAACATATAACAGTTACAATGTGTTTCAGAACATTTTAATACATTTGACACGATTCAGTCACAGGAAGTGGCTTTAGAACGAACAGCAGAGCTGCAGTAACTAAAGATTAATAACTGATACCATTTTATAATCTCTTAAACTCACAGAACATTCAGACTAACTGCAGCTTTAAGCTGAAGATCTTCATCATCAGAGCTTATTTGTGTGATTACCTCTGTTAAAGCTTTGAAGCTGTTTTAAACTGAGGTCAGCTCTTTTGTGGTTATCTTCACACCTATTTGAGTAGCTCTTGTTTCTTTTAACAGGGTGGAAAAAGT